CCCCCCCCCACACAGAATGCATCTGTCAATCGTGCTTGCCTGTGGTTTGCCTTGTGTCTGGATCATTGCAGGGATAGCAGCGCTTTCTTGAAGAAGGTGCTGCCGCAGGCCTTGCCGGAGAAGCATCCCACGTGTCTCCCGGCTCAAGTTCAGCGACATCATAGCCGGCCTTCCCACGTGTCTCCCGGCTCAAGTTCAGCGACATCATAGCCGGCCTTAATTAACGGTGCGGGGGGGGGAGGGGCGTGTGTATATTTGCATTCTCAACTTACTGCGAAAACTGCTTTAAAAGAAATAAATAAAAGCATATTTATCAGGAACAAGGAATTCTTGGATGCACAAGGAATTCCTTGTCCAAAGGGCCCATACTTGCGCCATTTGCTTTATCTGGTCATCCATTTTCCGACCCATCCGCATCCATCTAGCTGTGTCTTTGTCGATTTCAAGCATCTGAGGCTTCCGTCCTCCCCCGAAGTACTTGTGCTCTCAGCCGTCGTCAGTAAGCCCACTGCACGGAGCGGCGTCTCCGTGTCTCTCCATTCAAGACCTCACCCCACCGTGTTCATCCCAGCCGGCCAGAAGGGGCCGAAGACCGCAGGCGAAGGCGCCATGATGAGCGACTAGACACCCACGGGACGGCTCTCCTTCCCTTCACCTGTCAGATGGGCTTGCCCATCTGACAGGGTGGGTAGCAAACAAAACGATTCCTATATGGGTGGATGGATGAGCGGGGAGAAGAACTAAGGTCGGGAACTCTCAACAAACAAAGCCTGTCTGTCTGTCTGTCTAGGCGTGTCTGCACGGGCCTCTGGCAGGCAGGCAGGCAGTGCACAGGGAGAGAGACGCTGAGAGGTGCGACACTCATACGCAAGGAAACGGAAAATCCCATCAAGCCCTTACTTAGCCGGTCAGTCATTATCTGTCTCGCCACAGACAAACAGACTGTCAGCTTCCGCAACCGTTCATCCTTTGGACACAGACGGACACAGCTCCATGCACAGCCGCCCGCCGACCAGCGCTATTGATGTCCCTCACCCCGTAAGTCAGCAGTAGACGCATCCCTCGGTCAGGTACACGTCGTCCCGCCCCGTGCGCGGCCACGGAAACAGCTCGTTGCCGCACATCGGCAGGCTCACACACACGCACAAAGCCGCCAGCACACTATCCAATGCGTCGCCGCCCGCATTCCCCACACACAGCGCCCTCAGCTGTCCATCGTCGGCCGTCTGAAGCCGCACCAGCTCACATGAACCATCCTCGAAGCTGCAGGCACACACACACAGACATACACCCAGATGGGACAACCAGATCCGACTGTGTCTAACGCACATGTGTGGGCCGTACCTCGCCCATATCCGCTCTCTCTGCCGCCTGTGCGCATCGGTGGTGCCTTTGTACGGCTGATATAGCGCCGGTGGCAGCGTGGCCTTTCCACTGCTCCCGTCGGTCGCCGTCTTTTGTCGCTTGGCTGGCCGCTGCCCGTCGTCTCTGTTGTTGCTGTCGATGGCCTTGAGGAGGCTGGCGGGGCAGGTCTCGAGCAAAAGGGGCACCCCCTCTGCAGCCGACTGCATCGGCGCCACGCGGATGTCATCTGACCGGACGAGCGGCGCAATCAGGCTGGCCAGCGAGTGATACGCCTGTCGGAACATACGGACGTTATGCGGCAGCCAGGGGGTCTTGTGGAGGACGTCACTCGCCCTCTTGAGCTCCTTTTCGCTCCCGCAAGCATCGCACGCCCGCTTGAAGGCCTCTGGTGAGTCGAACGCCTCGCCAAACGCCTCAATGAATCGCCCCCATCGCGTTGCTCCGCTTTGGTCGCCGGCCGGAGTGTGTGCCTTGGATGATGAGGTGGCGGTGTCGCCGGCCAGCTTGATGTGTTCCTGAAGCTCCAAACGGTCCAGCAGGAGCTCGGAGAGCGACACGGGTGCGTCGAGACCAATGTAGCCCACAGTGCCCTTGTGTGCGCGGATGTAAGCAAGCAGGGCTTTATAGCTCTCGTCGCGCGACGGGCCAGCATCGGGAAGGTTTGAGGCGGGGAAGCACTCGGTCAGGCGGAACACCGGCGGCTGGCCAGCGGCGTCGGAGGACAAGCAGCCCCGTGAGACCCACACGGCTCGGCCAGCCTCCTGCACACACGCGCAGATCAGCATGATTCCCGAACACAGCCATGCGGTGCGATGCGATGCGATGACTATCTGACTGACCTTTGCGCCGCTCCAGTCGATACCGATCACCACCTCTTGGGTCATGCTGTGTGTTGGGAGGCGGAAACTGAGAGGAGAAAGAAGCTCTCTCTCTGCGACCTCAAAAGCTCGCAGCCATGTCGCCCGTCTTCTCTTGGTGTTTTTTCTCTCTCCTTCTTCCCGTAGCAACAACAGCGCAGAGGGAAGAAGGATTTCGCGAAAAAATCTCGGCAAATTGCGATCTGTCCTGATGGCGTCGGCTGCGGACCCTCACATCGCATCGCGAACGCCGAAGGCTGTCTGTCCTCGCCATCGACGTTACGGCCCGATGAGCTCGACCAACGCATCCTGACGTGCCTTTCTGCACCTGTGTTGACGCGCCGCCGTCATGCATCGCTCTCGCCAGTCGCACGCATCGGACGAGCAGCGGCTCCAGAGCATCTATGCAGTCGACAGCAGACTCTCTCGACGACACCCGAACCAGCCACAGCCACGAGAGGAGCCCTCCAGTCGTCATGGTGACTCGCCCCGCAGCCAGCGAACAACGCGTTATGGCGGGTCGCCTGGGGATAGGGACCAGGGAGAGATGGTCAACGGAGAAGGGAAGCACCTTCGGAACGGCTACAACAGCAGGCAGCCTCACCCGCTGTCAAACACTAGCACAGGTGGGTGGGCCAGCCACCTGGACAACACAACACAACAGAACATACAAGGGAAGGGGGAAAGACAGCAAAGCGGCTGGCCTGTCTGTCTGTCTATCTGTCTGTGTCCATCTATCTATCTGTGTATGTGTTTATCTGTCTATCTATCAGGTCTCGGCATATCGAGTGGTGTGCCGGGCAGCAGCGCAGGCGTGAGCGGCAAGAGCTCAGCATCCGACCTCAGCCAGCTGCCGGCCCGTCGTTTGTTTGACAAGAAGGGCTTGTCGGTCAGCACAGCGCGTCCCCCGTCCCCCCCGCTGTCCAACCCCTCCAACCCCATCTCACCCGGTGGTGACACGCGCTACACCAAGTCGCCCACGGCGCACCAGATCGTCAAAGAGGCCAGAGAGTTCGCCGCCAACCACAGTCACACCACCACTGCCCGCGATGCGGCCGGGAGGATGTCGAGACGGCCGCATCCCCTCGATGAGCGTCTGTCCCCCTTCCACGAGAGCCAGCAGCCCTCTCCCCCCCTGGCGAAGCTGGCCAACGGCGTATCGCCCGCATCAGCACCCGGACCCATCAACCTGGGCCCTCTCGACGAGGACGTGTCGGGCGGCCCCACTCACCGTCGTGGCTACATCGCCCCTCGCGCATGTGGGTCGGCGCCCACATCGTCTCAGCACGGCAAGAGCGGCGAGGCCCAGGAGGGCGTGCGGGACCGTTTCCGCTGGGGCGGTCGAGAGGGGAGGTCGCTTCTGAGTATAGCCGGGTCCAACATCGCTTCAGATCGCCAGTCGGGAGGCAGCAGCCCCTCATCGGATCGCACGACACCTCAGTCTGGTGGCGGCCTGTCGAGTCGTCAACTGCCGCCTGGAGGCAGTGGTGGAGGCAGGCTGGACGAAAACATGGCCAAGCTCGCCCAGTTTGGGCAAGTGCCACAGGTTCCTCGTGGCGACAGCGAGTCGCCGCCCCCTCAGCCCCCGCTGCCCTTCCCTCCAGGCCGTGTTCGCCCTACCACGGGTCTGCGAGTCGACACAGATGCGGATGTGAGTGAGGGAGTCGGAGGGGCACCCAGCAGCACGGGCAGCGGTAAGAGCATCGGCAGCCTTGGCAGTGGAGGCGGCCGCAGGTTCAGGGTGGCAGGGACGCCTGGAGGTGAGGCCGGCTCCGACCGTCGTCCGCCCTCGATAGGGTCGGGCGGCCACGGCCGGCAGCCGCCAAGCGACAGCGGGGGCAGCGACACGACATCCAACCCCTCACCGCAGGAGCAGCGGCTCAACCTCGGCCACTGGAGCACCGATCCAGACATGCCTGTCCCCACCTTGCCACCGCCCCCACCCATGACGGTCTCGCCGAGCGGCAGCCCGCACAGCGTCTCCCCTGGGGCTCGGCCCACCCAGTCGCCTCATCTTCGCTACAGCATCAATAATCGGCAGTCTCCATCGGCAGGAGGGTCTACTGGGGGTGGCAGCTCGCGGCACGGCAGCTCGAGTGGCCGTCGGTACAAGATGGGCACGGGCTCTGGCGAGGGGTCCAGCCCCCGGTTTCCCCCCATCCACCCCAACACGTGGAAGGCCGACCCACCCAAGACCATCCTGCCGCCCATTGCCAACATTGGGGGAGGAGACAGAGACAGGAGCCGGCCCCCGACATTCATCCCACCCACCGACCCCCTCACCCCAAAGCGTAACTTCAGCAGGAGTCGGCAGCTGGACTATGAGGTGCCCCGGCGCGAATCTGACCCGCTTTATCCGATGGGTCGCCCCCCGCCCCCTCCGGCCGTGTCGCTCCTGGCCATGCAGCGCAGGCAGCCCCCCAGCCCGGAGGAGGGGGCGCTGTCCAGCCCTGGACCGAGGGCCACCCATCGCATCGACCTGGGCCCGCTGCAGACGCCACCGCGGCGCAAGAAGGGGGGCATGAACGGGGCTGGGGCTGGTGGTGGCGGTGGTGGTGGTGGTGAGGACAGCGATGACATGTTGCTGCCTGCTGTGGATATAGTGAGTCGGCATTCGTCTCCGGGCGGGTCGAGCTCCCGTCGGTCGCCAGGCGACCCCCTGGGCGATGTGGCGGAGTGGGACAGCTTACTGGCGCGACAAACGTCGACCGAGCGTGCGAGAGGCGGGCCGGACGGCAGTGCCACCCACACGAGGCCGCGCCAGAGGACGTCGGGGGGAGGCAGGAGCAAGGAGGACTCCCTGTCGATGTCGCAGTCGTGCTCGTTGCTGGACAGTGAGGACTTCCTATCCCCCGACCCGCAGGCCATCGCGTCCGACAACTCTTTGAGCTTCAGCGTGAGCCAGCCGCACGCGTCACCCGACCGCGTGAGAGACCTAGAGGACTCCTTCTCCTCAGCCACCTCGCCAGTCCCCGAGCGCAAGACCGAAAGCGCACATTCGGCCATCCGTGGAGGGCGTGACCCTCTATCCCGGTCACGATCGCCGAGGCTGCGACCGCTGCAGAAGGCGGGCACTGTGGACGGCGCTGATGGGCACCGGGAGGGTGTCACCCCGTCCCCCCCACCCAGGGCACCAGCCAAGCTCCCGCACACACCGCAGGGTCGGCCCCGCCCCCCCGTGAGCCCCCGAAGCCCTCACCCGTCGGGCGCCTCGTCAGCCCCTGCATCCCGTCATGGGAGTCGCCCGCGCCCTCTCGACCGTGACACCAGTCGGCCGTCGTCTCGCCAGCGGCTGGCCGAGTCTCGCCAAGGGGGCTACGAGCTGTTTGTGCAGGCGCCAGATGAGGAGGGGGAGAGGTCCGCCGGGGCAGGGGATGCCACTGGTGAGCGTCGCGACAGTGGGTCCAACGTGACGTCGCATCGCGAGTGGGTAGCTGCTCGGCAGGGGGCGTTCGACAGCCATCGTGGTGGGGGCAGGAGGCGCCCACCACGGATCGGCGAAGTAGACGAGGAGGAGGAGGAGGAGGAGGAGGTCGAGGCAGCAGAGGGCAGTGAGAGCGACGAATCGCTTGGCGGCGTCAACCTGGAGGACTCCAGCACCAAGTTCGAGGACCTGCCCCCGCCCTCCATCATGCGGTCCGGCACGCAGCAGTATGTCCACGAGCAGCAGAAAGCGACCGCAAGACGTCCTGGTACGACTCCCGGCATGATTGGTGGCGGCAGCAGGGGGGGAGCAGGCGTCGCGTCGCCCCCGGGCAGCCCGCATTCGCCTGTGGAGGGATCGAGTGTGCGTTGGATTCGCGGAGGTGTGATAGGTCAGGGCCAGCTGGGCAGGGTGTATGAGGGCATGGAGGTGCGGACGGGTCGGCGGATAGCGGTCAAGGAGTTGCTGGTGGACGAGGCAGCCGACAAGAAGTTCATCGACCAGCACATGCATGAGATCAACCTCTACCAGGAGCTCAGACATGAACACATCGTCTCATACCTTGGTGAGTTAATCAGGGAGGGAGGGAGGGACGGAGGGAGTGACGCACAGAGAGACGCGAGCAGGAGGGATACACCCACCTACCTGTGAATGTGACCAATATGGCCCACGTGGATGCAGGCCACGACAAGATCGACGGCTGCGTGTACATTTACATGGAGTTCATGCCGGGGGGGTCGCTGGCACAGATGCTGACGCGCTTCGGTGCATTTGAGGAGGAGACCATCGCAACCTACACACGACACGTACTCGAGGGGCTCAAATACCTGCACGACAGAAACATCATGCACAGGTAGGTGGGCGGGCACAGGTGGGTGGGTGCGATTTGTCTGTCATATGATATATATATGTCAACCACCGACAGACAGACAGACACAGACAGACACAGACAGACAGGCGCAAGCACGAGACAGATGGACTGGATTGATGGCTGGATGTATGTGTGTGTATTGTCATAATGTGTCATGTCACGTCAGAGATGTCAAGGGCGGCAACATCCTCGTCGACACTGAGGGCAACGCCAAGCTGGCCGACTTCGGCTGCTCCAGGAAAGCCGAACGGTCGATGGCAACCACCATCAAAGGTCGGTACACGCACCCCCACACCCCGACATCTGTTCCTTCCCTCCCTTCCACCCACCCGACCAACATCTGTCTGTAATGCATTCAATGGCATGACACAGGTACCCTGCCGTGGACGGCTCCGGAGGTGATTCACCAGAAGGGTTACGGGCGCAAGGCGGACATCTGGTCACTTGGGGGTGTGGTGGTCGAGATGGCCCAGGCCCACCACCCATGGGACTCGTTCGACAACCAGATGGCCGCTATGCTCAAGATCGGATTCTCACAGGAGACACCCAACATACCCAAACACCTCTCACACGTAGCTAAGGTACCCACACACACACACAGACAGACAGACAGACGTGCTGAGGTCATCTTTTCATTTCTTGCCTGCCTGATTCATTCAGGATTTCTTGGAGCGTTGTTTCCAGCGCGACCCCGACCGTCGCTCCACGGCCGAGGATCTGCTGACGCACCCCTTTATCACGCGACGCCTCGACGACCCCCTGCCGCCACCCATCCCGCCATCACAACCCTCTTCACCCACCGACCCACAGCCCCCGCAACTTCCCGGCCACCAACAGCAACCCGAGGCCCCTGCTGCTGCTGCTGCTAGTCCATCCGATGGTGAGGGCGGCGGTGCAAGTGGGCTGTGGTGGACCCGGCTCCCAAGCAAACTGGCAGAAGCCGGTGGGGCCAGCAACAACGCTGCTGCTGCTGCTGATGCGGGTGATGCGGGTGATGGTGGTGCGGACAGAGGATGGTCGGGCGAAGGGTCAGATGGATGCACGGGGGGCGCGTCGTAGCTGCAAGGAAGCAAGAAAGGAAAGACACTGACCCCAACGAATGAATGGATGTGTACAGACAAACGGTCTGAGGGCAGATGGGGGGCAGACAGACAGTTGTCAACTGAGTCACAATTTGTTGGTTGGGGTGGGTGCACGTCATCAATCGTGTGTTCGTGAATCAATCGCGCCCCTGTCTGGTCGCTCATCTGCAGTCCGTCTCTCTGGTCCGATCCACCCTTGCTGCTCTCTTCTTTGACGCTTCCTTCTTTTTGAGACGAACGACGGACCAGACAGACAGACAGGGAGGAGGGAGGGAGGGAGGGCATTGGCTCGGTTGAATGCGCTGTCTGGTGCGGATGGATGGATGAATTGCATTGCATGCCGCCGACCAGCCAGAGAAGATGGCAAGCGCGTGCCCATGCCCCATTTTGCTCACTTGGGAGGGCTCAATCGCGCGTGTGGTGGGTGGGTGTATGTGGTCACTCACGCCTCTCGATGATTGACTGACACTTGTTGGTGTTCGTTATTTGCAAACAAACAATTGCGTGCGTGTCTGCGCGGCGTGTGTCGTGTCGTGTCTGTGTCCTGTCGTGTGGTGTGGTGGTTGTCGCGTGGCGTGTGTAAATACATACGTTAGTTAACTCAAGCAACGAGTGGGCGAACGCGAGTCCGATTTGATGCCGACAGGTGCAGACAAACGGGATGTAGCCATCGACGCGCGCACCTCACCTCCCCCAGCCCAGCCAGTGAGAGGGAGAGTGAGAGAGGCAGTATGCATTATATGCAGAGAGTGATCAACCTCCGCTACTGTCGCTCTGGTTGCTTTGCTTGTGTTGTTTCTTGTGCTGTAGTATCATCTTCCACACTTGATGCCGCTCCTCGCTCCGCAAATCAGACACCTTCACCACACTCACATGGCTGCACACACACACACGCACTTTCTCTGTCTTTGCCGATGGTGCGTCTGTCTGTCTGTCTGTCTGTGCGCGTACGTCTGGTTGGGGCAGTTTCTCTTGAGCATGACGTATCCGTGGTACAGCCGCCAAAGCGTCGGACATGAGTACTCCACCGGCTCCACCAAACCCCTCACTATCTCCTTCTGACCTCCACATCCCCGCCAACACACAACTCACAATTCGCAATGCAATGAACACGTACGTCCCCGGCTTGAGCCGACAGATCTCACCTTGCACACAGTGCACATCTTGGTGGCTTTCCACTTGAACACACGCCTCTCGAGGAAGGCCTCCACCTCATCCATCTGAGGGGCGCCATGACTCAAGGCCCACTCGGGATGAGGCCGCGGTGGTCCTGCTCCTCCTGACGGACGTGCTGCTGATGGTGGTGCAGTTGGCGCAGCAGCGGATGACAGCAGCCTCCTGCAGAGGGGGATTCGACGCGCAGCGTGTGATAACGAGCAAGACAGCATTCCCCAGCCCGTTAGGTTTCGCGCCAAACCCTGAACCCTAACCCCTATCCTGAGAGAGAAACCCAAGACAGAACTCCCCTTCCCGAATACATACAATCGCACCGCAGCAACGCGAGCGCGCCTAACTGAACTCAAGGATCTCTCTCGCGGCCAGATAGGACCTTCCCCGCAGCAGCGCCGCTCGCTGACACGACGACAGACGACAGACTGAAGCCAGCAGCGCACAGCCGCATGGAGGCAGCCTGACAGCCCCTCCGTTGATGAGACCATCGCAGCCACTCGATATGAGTAAATCGCAGCCGAGTCCGTCAGCCCCGAGAGCGTCTCAGTTCCTGCCGATGGACGCCAGCTTGGCTGATCCGCATCACTGCGAGGCCTCTGCCACGCCGTCGAAGCGGACGAGAGGGCGGGAGAGGGACAGGGGGAGGGAGAGGGGGAGGGGAGGGGCCTGGTGCGATTTGATCGGGCGCAAGCAGCGCCTGCTGGAGGCCATCGACTCGTTTTTCTATCGCTATACGACCTTTGTGTTCGACCATCCCTGCTGGGTCAGTGAGTGAGTTGAGTGACCGCACACGCACACAATATGTGCCACGTGCATGTGGGTGGCACAGACAGCACAGAGGGGGACTGGCTGGACTGTGTGAGTATGTTGTGTGTGTGTCAGTTCCTGTGGGTGCCGGTGGTGGCGTGCGCGCTGATGGGTATGGGTCTGCTCCGCTACAACCCCAACACCGACCCACTCGCCCTCTACGCCATCCCCAACTCACAGGCCATACACGTACGTTACGTATCCACCCACTCTCACGGAGGATGGATGAGAAATACAACAAACAAACACATTGATCGCATCGCACACATGGCTGTCTGTCCCTCCCTCCCCTTCCCTCCCCTCCCCTCCCTCCCGCCCCTGATCGATTTGATCAGGATTGGGACATTCTGACGACCACCTTCGAGGGCTGGCCTCGGTTCGCCTACTTGATAGTCGACAAGGACCCCTCATCGGACCGCAGCGACCGCACCCACCCACTGGTGCACCCGGACACCCTGCAGGCACTGGCAGACCTGCGCGGCAAGATAGAGTCGATCCGCGTTGAGGTGGACGGCCGCGAATACGGCCTGGAGCACGTGTGTGTGCAGGATGGCACCAAGCTCTGCCAGCATGAGAGCGTCCTGGAGTTCTTCCCCACCGGTCAGTCAGTCAGTCAGTCAGAGAGAGAGCGAGAGAGAGGTGCATGGGTCTTATTTGCCTGTTTGTTTAATCGATGGATGGCTGGATGGATCGTTGTGCGTGCATGTGCAGGCGACTACAATCGGTCGATCCTTTACCCCAACCACCTGGCTCTGCGCAAGGGCAGCGGTGCGTTCGTCCGGTGGCCGGTCGATCTGATGGTCGGCGGGGTGACGCCCACGCCAGACGGAAGAAAAGTCGAATCAGCAGAGGGTACACACAGGCCAGCCTCCATACCTCTCACCCATAATCGGGATGTGTACCTTCCGGTGCTCTCTCTGCGTGTCAGCCTTTTTGTTCCGTTGGGCGTTGCAGGACTACGGGGGCCACGCCATCGAGGCCGCGACGACCCCAGTGCAGCGGGCGACCGTAGCCTGGGAGAAGGAATTCATCGCAGTGGTGGAGGAGGAGAAGGAAAAGCTGAGGGATGAGCGGGGCGTGAGGGTCCACCACATCGCTCGACGATCCATCGGTGGGCACACCAAACCCACCGCAACCAACACATATATATGAGAGAGGGGAGGGAGAGGCAGGCATTGATTTCATTCGTCCATTCATTCATCCGTGTGTGCAGTTGACGAGTTGGAGAAGTCGACGACGCTTGGTTTGTATGACTACGTGCGCTACCTCATCGGCGGCATCATCATCTTCACCTACTGCATGCTCGTCAGCTGCTCCACGGACATCTACAAAGCAAAGTACACACACAAACCGACACACAACAAACACACCACACCCCTCGTCCCTCCGCTTCTCGCCACACACACAGGCCCGTGTCGGCCTTTTTCGGTTGTGGCGCGGCTGTGTTGGGATTTCTGTTCGGTGCGGGTGTGTGTTACGCTTTGGGCCTAACCCACGTGCCGCCGACGGAGGCCACTCCGTTCCTGTGCATGGGTATCGGTGTGGACGACATGTTCGTCATCTTCAACAGCTATGCCCTGGCAGCCAAAATCAGCGACCCACGAAGACGGGTGGCTCTCGCTGTCAAGGACTGCGGTAAGGGAGAGCGGCGGCGGGTGAGTGGCGAGGGACGGACGTCGATTATGTGTCCTGGGTGTGTGGCTGCCGCAGGCATATCGATCACAATCACGACTCTGACAAACCTGATATCGTTCATTGTGGGTGCGACGTCGCCGTACCTCGCTATCAGCAACTTCTGCATCGTCACCGCCATGTCTCTGCTGCTGGTACGGACTCATGTAGATAGACATATAACCCATCCACTCACCCACCCACCATGTGACTGACACCTGCTCCATGCTGTGTTGTGTTGTGTTGTGTGTCATGTGTGTATGGGATGGACGCAGGGGTACTTCTGCGTCTTGACCTTCTTCCTGGCGGCCGTGTGCATCGACGCCGAGAGGGAGCACTGCAAGCTGTCCTTCATCGAGGCCTACTGGCCACCCGCCAGGACAAGAAGGAGGAGAGCCAGGGTCGCTGCAACAGCAAAAACAACACCAGCACAGCAGCAGCAGCAGCAGCAGCCACCCAAGTCTCCATACGCCGCCCCTTCCCCAGCAGGGAAGGAGGGCCCTTCACCGTTTTCGCCATCGCCCGCCAGCACGGCCGCATCGTCTCTGCGCAATGTTGCCTCGCGCGACGCGTGCAGGGGGGGCGCAGAGAGCGACGCTGTTGACGACGAGGGTAAGTCTGTGCATACATGTCACGTCTGGGGGGCTTCTCTCTCTGCAGACATTGGTTCAATCATTCACTCATGCTGGTCGATGTGTCGGGATGTGATGCGATCGTGTGCGCGCAGCGAATCTGTCGACCTTCGAGCTGGTTGCCAAGCAGCTCTACCATCAGGAGCAGACCATCAAACAGAGAAGACAGCAGCAGCAGCAGCGGCAAGAGCCATTGCCACAGCACCAACCGCCGGCACAGCCACCGCAGCCAAGGGAGGGTTCGTGTCGCGAGGCGGTGTTCAGGCCTCGGCTGGCGTACCCGAGTGCGTATCCGTATGAGCGTGGTAGCGAGGGCACTGGCGAGCAGAAGGGGACAATCGGCAGGTGGTTCAGGTGGCTCTTCCGGCGGGGCTGGGGCAGGATGGTCACCATACCTTTTGTACAGGTACGGAGGGAGGCCAGCGAGGGCAGGGCAGGGCAGGTCACCAAGCAACCAGCGATCGATTCCCTCAAATGGACATTTGAATGAGTCAGTTGTAGGTGTTGCGTGACTGTGTCTGTGTGTGTGTGTGTGTGTGTGTGTAGGCAATGGTGTTGCTGGTGATGTGCGTGTACTGGAGTGCGTCCTACTGGGGCATCCACGAGATGAGCGCCGGGCTGAACCTCCTGGAACTCACCCCCTTCAACTCATACTATCGGGTACCTCCCTCCGTACCTCCATACACACATACATACATCACCTGAGCGTACCGACGTCAATGTCCTTCATTTGTGTGTGCTCTGCTGTCTGTGCTGTGCTGTGTGAATCCATGTGTACATGTGTGTAGGATTTTTGGCAGCAGTATTTCGCCAGCTTCCCGTCCTATGGCGAGGACGTCTTTGTGGTCTTCCCCCACCAAACGCAGTGGTGGCGAAAAGACGTCAGGGTCAGTGAGACACACACATACACACATGCACACAAACCTACCGACCAACCGACACATGAGACTCACACGCATGTGTGGTGTGCATGGCATGGCTGTGTCTACTTACTTGGTGTATGTGTGTGTATGCGAATGTGTGTGTACGCAGGAGGCGTATATGGCATTGGAAGGTCGCGTCCGCAACGGCACCTATGCGTCCGACATGATCTTCAGCGGCATGTACGAGTTCTACAGCCGCACAAGCCAGGAGACCCTCGACGCGATGGAAGACGACCCAGCTCGATTCAACCGCACGTACGCCCACACGCACGCCCCTCTGCGCCGCCGCCCACTCCCTCCTTCACACCCCCACCATACAATCAATGGACTCACTCTCCTCTCGTGTCTGTCAGGCTGTCGAGATGGCTGGATCGGTCACAGTATCAGATCCTCAGGAGCGACTTCGTCTTCGACGCTGGTATGGATGGATGGATGGATGGATGTGTTTACGCAGACGAACGTATCTGCAAATGTCTGCCCTCCATATGTGTGTGATCAGATGGTCTGCAGCACTACCGATTCCGCTTCTTCGCGCGGCAGAGGATCCCTGGGGCCGACCTGGTGGAGGGCAGCCGACACGACTGCAAACAGGCAGAGCAGGACACGGGTACGCACACGCACCTGAGCACCTGAGGGCCTCAGGGCTCCAAGACACTCACACCGCACTCTCTGGTGTGTGTCCACCATCCATCCATCCATCCGTATGTGTGTGTGGGCGTGCAGGTGGGCTGCTGCGTTGTTTTCCGTATGCGGACATGTTCCCCTACTACGAGAGCGACATCTCCATCCTGGAAGACACACTCAGGAGCCTCGGATACGCACTCATCGCCGTCATGATCGTACGCTCGCTGACGATACGATACACACATGACATGCACACACAGAGACACAGAGCGAGAGCGAGAGAGGGGGGGGGGCGGAATGCATTCACTCACGTGTGGACTGTGGTGCCTGGCTGCAGGTGTCGACGTTCCTGATGCGGCATTGGCGGAGTTGGCTGTTGGTCATGTGCATGCTGGTGTCCATCGACGTGGGGCTCTTCGGCTTCATGTACCACTGGGACCTGCAGCTCAACATGATCACCATGGTCACACTCATACTCGCCATCGGTACGTACGGCCGGCACAACACAACACTACACCCTCACCACCCCTTCACACACACAGACAGACATGTGGGCGCCTGCGTGTGTGTGTTGTGTGTCCATTCAGGTTTCTCTGTGGACTCGACCACTCACATTGCGCATACCTTTGGCCACGCCGTTGGGCCAACAAGGTCCCACAGGTGCGCTTCGATATACATACCTGGGATGACATCTGGAGTCTGAGAGGCCCACTGGGGCGATGTGTTGTGTTGTGTTGTGTTGTGTTGTGTTGCAGGGCGGCTGAGACACTGGTGCTGATGGGCAATCCTGTGTTCCACGGCTCTTTTTCGACATTTCTGGCCATGCTGATCATCCTCACTATGGACAGCTACATATTCGTCATCTTCTTCAGAATGATGACACTCGTAAGACTCACACAGACAGACAGACAGACAGACAGGCAGGCAGAACGGCGAGTCATGAGAGCCACAGCCTCCCACCCACCCAGCCACCCACTGCTGCACCCACCCATCGGTGTGTGCAGGTGCTGTCTCTGGGGATGTGCCACGGCCTGCTCCTGCTGCCTGTGCTGCTGATATTCGTCGGCCCCTTCGACCCATACGTCCCCTCGCCCCTTCGCACCCGCATAGCCGCCACCAGCACCACCGGCAAGGGAGCCATGACACTCTCCCTACCGGCCACCACCACCGCCGCTATCAGCAGCAGCAACAATGGTAATGTGGCGATCAAGGTGACGCCCCCCGGTTGTCAGGCTGGTGGTGCAGGCCCCCAGGGTCAGGTCGAGACGTGTTGTGAGACCAACGTCGAGGAGAGCACCAGCTACGACGAGGTGCCTTCCAACAATGGGGGCTCCTCCAGGGAATCCAGGGAGGAGAGCAGCAATTCCGTGTGAGCGGTGGGTGTGCCGTGGTGGATGGATGAATGGATGGACGGTGTATGATGGCAGCTGTCGAGAGCTTGCGTGTATGCATTCTGTGTGAGGCGCCGGTCGGTCTGTCTGTCTGTCAGCAAGGCAGTCAGCCAGTTAGCCACTGAGTCGATGCTGGTGGTGTCGTCGTTAGTTTCTGAGCCGTGTGTGTCGTGCATGCCTGCATCCCTGGCTGTCTGCCTGGATGGATGGATGGATGGAGGCCTCCCCCCGGCCAGTCTAGTCTAGTTGGTGCCTTTGCTGCGACCGACCGACCGAGGTACCGACCGACTCTACTGGGCTCGCTCCTGACGCATTTTTGTCCTGTTATGTACCCAACACACACGAGTGTGTGTGTCCTGTGTTGCCTTGTGTTCAGCCTTGTCGTGGGTTGTGTTGTGTTGTGGGTTGTGTACGTATTTATATACACAGCAGGTAGGTGTTAGGTCGCAAAGAGATAGATAGACAGATGGAGGGACGGACAGCAAGAGGAAGGAAGGCTTTTGTACAGACAGACCTGCAGAGGCAGATGGGATGGCTGGCTGAATGGACGGAGGAGGCAGGGAGGCAGCGAGGGAAGGTCGAGACGACCCATCCATGGAGACATACATGTGCGTGGATTTGCTTTTTGCTTTTCCTCCTGTCTGTTTTCATGGCATGTGTGCCTCATGGGGCTGGCTTAGCAAGGACTGGATGGATGGATAGATGGATGTCGTCTGCCTGCCTGCCTGCCTGCCTATCAGGCCCATCCGTCATACTAACAGACTTATTGTGTATATCTTTTTGATTGGGGCGATTAATCGAGGCGGCCCGCCTGACGGATGCAGATGGATGTAGTATGCGTCCATGCATCCGACCCGCCGGCCGGCCGATGACGTAAGCAGAAAGGCACATCGTGTGCCTGCCTGCCTGCCTGGCTATGTGTGCGTGTGTGTTTGTATGTGGTTTTGGAGGGGCCTGAAGAGGAAACGAGCAAGGAAGGGCCATGCCATGGGCTGGGTGGGCTGGGCTGGGGTGGTGTGGGGTGGAAGTGCATTCGTACCTTCTTGCATGGTGCGATGGATGGATGCTGTGGATGGATGGACCTGTGTGTGTGTGTGTGTGTGTGTGTGGCCATCTGTCAAATAAATGTCGTATTTATGAACCACCACCCAACTTACCACGCAGCTAATGTGAGTGAGTGAGCCCGTTGATAGATAAAGGGCTTCTCTACTCTACTTACATCGTCAGTCAGTCACCGAGCAGAAAACCTGTGTTGGCTTCCGCCTTCACTGCGGCGTCTGCCCGGCTGGGTACGGGGCAAACACGTCTGTCTCCAGCAGAGATGTCTGCACACGCTTGTTGATCTGCCGCTTGGCCCACACCTCGCCTGCATCAACCAAGCTCTGCTTCTCTCTCTCTCTGCTTGCTCTCTGATCTGCCTGTAGGAGTCGCCCTCTCACCCCTTCCTGACCTTGAGTGTTTGTTGGCGGGCGTCCTTCGCAGCAGGACAGCGTCACGTGGGCGATGCCCATGGGCGGTGAATTGAGGGACGAATTCCATAGGGTACACCATCGACAAACACCACTGCACGTGCACATGCAGCACACACAGCACAATGGGAAAGAACACTGATGCCCACGAGTGTAATCGTGCAGTGTGCATGGCATCATACGTACCGCAAGGTCTCGGACAAAGGCGACTGACTGGTCCAGGCCCCAGGGCCGCCTAAATCAGTGGGATCAGTCGCTGCAGGAGCTGCAGTGCGTGGCCATCGATATCCGTATTGAGTCCCCCCATGCAGTAGTCCTTGTGGCCGGAATCGAAGAATGTCCTCAGGCGATATATCAGTGAAGAGGGATCCTTTTTTGTATACTAGGTAATTTACAAGCAATCTCTGCTGCGATCGCTTCTTGGCCGCCAAAGCTATTGATAGCGAGTTTTGGCAGCGATGACGAGTTTCGTTGCGCCCCTCATCGTGGTGGCGTTCGTATCTGCCGCCCTGGCCGTGGCTGGGCGGGGGGAGTACTGCGAGGGGACAGGCTGCGCAACAGACGGTATGTGGGCACTATGAGCGAGCTCTACGGTGCACACATCACTCCCGGCCCACATACCGCTGTCCGACCTGCAGGTGCCTCGTTCCTCGCCGGCACTGAGGAGATTCAGACCAACAAGAAGACCATGGCGGCCAATAAGCACGGTGCGTCTGTATGGATCTGGATGGACACATGGATGGATGGATGGATGTCGTGTGTGTGTCCATCTGCGTGTGCATCTCTCTATGTGTGTGTGCATCTATGTTGTGTGCAGTCGGCGCGTTGTCGATGCTGCAGGAGAAGATCCGGACCACCAAAGCCTTCATCGAGTCGGCCAACACGCTGGCCCGCTCATCCAGACAATAATGGCAGGTAACATCGAGAGAGATGTCCACACAGACAGGCTGCAGGCAGGCAGGCAGGCAGACAGAATTGACAACCTGCCTGCCTGCCTGAGAAGGGCGAGGATGACGGGAATCTGACCCTCCCCGCCGGCCGGAAATTCGGAGGGGAGGGGAAGGGCGAGAGACCACAGGGTCCTCATGGCCCTCGAGAAAGACTTCCCCTTTCGCCCTTTGTCGCAGCTGAAGCTCTCTTCTCACCTCCAGAAAGAGGCCGGGCGCTTTCAGCAATGGATCCCCAATATATCCGTCGCTGCCCGCAGAGAGAGACCTGCACACTCGATGTCGTCCAGCAGCAGGAAGCCGCGTGAGTGCCGGTCGAGGGCAGAGAAGGCCCGGAAGGACCGGTCAAACGATGAGATCAGCCGCCCGACGCCTCACCTGCATGGACGACAGTATGCACTGATCGGTCGGTGAGAGTATCGTTGCTTACGTACGATGGCTCTAAAGACCTCCCGTGAGAGGCCTGGCGGTTGCTGGTGACTGAGCCCCTCCACCACCCACAAGTGCTGATGCACAGGACCGTACCACACCACACCACCAGCAGCCATACCCGTGCCTTGTTTGTGTCCATCCATCCTTTTCTGCCGACCCACCTGAATGTCACTTTTGACGAATGGGAAGCCGAACACCGCCAGCAGGGCGCCCTTGAGCTCTGCGCGCGTCAGCACCCCCTTCGAGCCGTGGTCGAAACGGCAGAAGATCCTATCCACGTCACCATCTCGGCTCCGCCATGATTCGCATGATGAGAGCACCTGAATGAACGAAACAATGCCACACACACGACGCACAGAGAGTGACCTGACGGATGATCTGCATCTGTCCTTCATTCAGCTGACCTTTTCGCACCTCGTCAGCAGCTATCGACGCCGGCGACGAATGGAAACGCCATTGCTGAAGATTGAGGTGTGCCTGTGAGGATGCTGCAGGCTGCCCAAGGGACAAAGGAGGGAAATCTCCTCCCTCTCCTCCCTCAATTTCCAAGCTCGTAATTGACGACGGATCATGGCTTTTCTCGGCGACTGGTATGGCTATGACTATGACCATGAAGACGATAGCCGATTGAGGCGAGAAAGTACGTGGATCTTCCCTCGCCTTGATACGTTCCTCGAATCAATCACTCTGAATCTGGTGTGTGGATGTCAATTGGTGGATGTGTGTGTAGATGTCAGTGAGACCCCTCTGAATGGACCCCGTGTGTTGGCGCTGTTCAGTGTAGAGGTTTCTGACATCGCTAAGGGCGAATCAGGTGAGCGGGTGGGGATACGCTCCTCGAGCACAGCCCCATTGGCAGCTGCCCCGGCCGGCTTGCTTGTGTTCCATCTGTGCGTGCAGTTGCCCTTGTGCTTGGCACGCGAGACCCCGTCGCCATGAGTCCCCCGTCGCCGACTTGCCCGAGGTGGTCTCTGTCTGTGGTCCTCCCTTCCAAAAGTGGAAAGCTTCATGAAGGGCTGTACAGTCGCACCGACTTCGTAGTGAGGTGCAAGTACAGCTACGGCATCATCGGAGCCAACGGACAACTGACGCGTCGCGAAGAGGGAGGCACGCGGCGGGTGAGGGCGGGCAAGACGCCTCATCTAGTCTTCGTCAAGGACACATATGGGATGTGGGAGGGCAAGACGGATGCGGTGTCGCTGAAACCAGCTGAAGCCTCCGCACCGACGGTGAGTGATGAGGCAACCACACACCAATGAGGCAGAGAGACACGACGACCGTGGTGCATGTGTGTGTCGATCAATCAGGGGCCCTCGTTCGTCTGGGGGTCGTCCCCTCCTCCAGCGCTCTACGCCACCGTGCCGCCCGACCAGCCCCTCACCTTGCCGCACCGAGTGAGCATCTGGCGACCCTCCACTGCTTGGTCGGCAGGCCTCTCCGAGTCGAATCTCAGCCCTAACAACGTCAGCATCGATTTCCGCGGCGCGGACCAGCTGACGAGGCAGCTGGTTGTTGGCATCGCCTGCAATGTCATCAGTGAGGGGTCAGCCCGAGACCTCCTCCACCGAGGCGCCGAGGGCAATCAGATCGTTAGGGCGTGGTCCATCGTGTCGGCCGTCCGCGAGATGAGCCTGCCCCGACTTGCCGCAAAGCACCTGGACGAGCCCGAGGCCGTCGGCGTGATGCGCGTGCTGCTGGACGCCGGCGCCCCCAACATCCCACCAGACAGACACAGCGACCGCGACAGCGCAGTTCGCAGGGCCGCGCTGGCCGGCAAGTGTGGTGTGCTGGACGTCATGCTGGAGCCGCAATACGGCATCTTAGCTGCCGGACACTGCCTGCTGGCGGCGGTGTGTCGCAGCAAGTCGGGCTCTGCCGACAAGCTGCGTGTGGTCAATGCTCGGCGAGCGGGACGTGACAGTGCTGTCGGAGAAGGGCGACGACGGGTGGCGGCCCATCCATCACTTCAGTTCAAGGCCACTGAGCGACAAGAAGCTGCAGGAGCAGCTCATCGACTAAGTACTTCGCCGAGAAGCTGGGGGCGGATGTCGTCAACACACCCGTCCAGCTCCCTCCCCCAATTCGCCCTTTCTCCGCGGACCAGGAGTGCAGGTGGCCCCTCTCCATAGCTCATCTCGCGTACGGCAAGTACCACGACAGAGCGGATGCGACCATTGAGCGTCTCTATCGGTATGGGGCGGCGCGGCACATCAACACCACCGACAGCCAGGGCAACACGGCGCTCACAGATGCGGCAGCCCGATTAGACTGCCCCAATGAAGCCCTCGTCGGTCTGCTCGAGCACGGCGCATCTGTGGCGACTGCCGGGCTCACACAACAGGAGCCGAGCAACTGGTGGGGGCTCCTCCGTAAGGAAGGAAGAGCCAGGCTGCTCACGGCATACTCTTCCTCCCTCAACGAGTCCATCCCCCGCCTGGCCCTGCAGACCATCAACGCGTCCCTCCGCCCATCACGCAGCCTCATGGCGTCCCTCACCCAGCCGGTCCCCCTCCGCAGCCGCACCATCGCCCTGCCGTCTGACGTCCTGACGACCATCAACAGCTATCTCGCCCCCACCAACCAGACCGACAGCCCGCCCCCTCCCATTCCCATCGGCGATGAGCCTATCGGCACACAAATCAACCAAGCTGTGCGCCAGTACGCCCTGATCGCAGCGCGTGTGATGTGCCTGCCGGTGAAGCAGCAGCAGGAGGGCAGCCAGGAGCGTCCGCAGGGGCACGGCAACGTTCGTGTGGTGGGGAGGCCCGGCGTCGCTGCGCTGCGATGCTTCGCCGTGGGGGGCGCCCCCCAGCCGCAGCAGCGGATGGGTGTGTGCGAGGTCATCGCTCGGGCAGTGAGGCTGGAGGCGTCGCGATACGGCATCGGCGTGACCCTCCGCCACAACGTCATCAACAATGACGCCCATGTGCTGGGCGCATTGGCGGTCGTGTAGCGACAGATCTATAGACCAGACAGGCTGTCTGGCGATCTTTCGGTAGGTAGAGGGGCTTCTTGTTGACGGACTGATTGCGTTCGTTTGCCCGAAGGGTTCCTGCATGGTGTAGATACATACGTTGCATATATATATATGTGTGGGTCTGACGTGTGGTGTGTGCGCATGTGAGCTCTGGATGTGTGTCTCGCTGCCAACTGTCGTGCCTTTCTCTCCCCCACATCTCCTTTATCGAGCTGCCTGTCTGTCTGTCTGTGGTGCCTGTGGTGCGGTGCAAGTGCGACGTGAGTGTATTCGTGGATGCGACGCGATAGCATTTTGACCTCTGCGATAAGATTGAACACTTTATCGGTAGCACAAAGAAGTGTTCAATCTTACGAAAAAATCATCAACGGCTCACGCATGCGTCCGATGCCACAAGCAGTGCTGCTTGTGCTATCGCATCACGGCCTCCACGAAGGATTGCCTCTTAAGTGAATGCACGCAATGGGCATTGCAAACACGTGAAGATACCCCTTCTTGCGCAGAGGTTTGGTTTCTCACTCACATGATACTGGTCTGAGATCCCCGTCAGATCTCTCGCTAAAGAGCACTTTGTTGACAGCGATGATGGGCATGGCGACCAAGTATTTGCATACTACTCGCCGATTGATTGAGAGCTTCAGCGGCACACCGATTGATATCAATTGATCCACACGATTCATACCTTGAAAGACACGCACAGACAATGGCAGATAACATCGAAAGAGATGTCCACACAGACAGACAGACAGGCAGGCAGGCAGCTTACCCTTAACCACCACCACGGTGACCCACGGATTAGAGAATTCTGCGACGGCGGCATATGGATGTATAGTGTACACAACTGCACTGGCACAACTGAGGCGTCCATCCAAATTTACGGTGTTGACGTTCGCCTTGGAGGTTGACGCGTGTATTAATCCATCCAACGAATTTGCATTGTCATGTGCCTTGCCTTGCCGAATGAATGCACGCGACAGGTGGCACTGCGGGCAACAGGGCCACATACGGAGCGGCTGACAAGGCCAACACTACCAACCCCATCGAAGGCCCCCTTCGCTTGTTTCCTCTCCCTCGTCACCTTTGGCTTTGGCTTTGCTTTGCTTTGCTTTGGATTGATTGTCTCCCCTCCGTCGTGGCCTTTCGCCTTGGGCCTTGCTTTGCTTTGGATTGATTGTTTCCCTTCCGTCGTGGCCTTTCACAGGGTTTCGGTTTGCTTAGGTTTGTTTGGGTTTGCTTAGGTTTGCTGGGTTTGCTTTGGGGGCTGTACCCGCTGCATGCCTCCATCGAAGAGCATTAAGAGTTCAGAATACATTAACCAGGCTTGGTTGATCAGTGAACAGGCAATAGCGAGGCACATGTCGAGGAGAGACACATCATATGACACGTGCGATGCTGGCCGAGTATTGCGTATACCCCACAGCCGACAAATGCACCCGCCACGAAACTATGCCCAACCTGGTGGCCATTGGAGGAGGGTCACCGAGCACACATTGTAGAAATGATTGTATTCGGCCATATATGTGAGGCTGGTGGGCGTGCCACATCACACCACTAAGCAGCCGTGACGCCACGACGCTTCCAAGTCATCTTCCCATCGATCAACCGCCTCTTCCGCCCTGCGTCCATTCGTCCATCACCACACCACATAGACCGGCAGCAAGCCAACGCTTCTCGCATCATACACCCCCACCACCAGCACCCTGCTGCTGGCCCGACGAGCCCTGCTGAGAGTGAGCGTCGACAGCCTCGCTTGAGCCCCACCTGTGCACCTGCACGCCATGCCATCCATCCATCCATCCATCCATCCATATAGAGAGAGAGAGGAGAGGAGTAGAAGACACACAATATTCGTCTCTCCTGACCGTTGCAGCCACGTCAGAGACACCTGAAGAAGACGCGTGACAAATACAGTATACATACATGGGGGCCGCTTTGTCGACTACGCTGATGTGCGTACTTTCTGACACGATCGAGGAGACCGCACTTGCGCCTGGCAGACAGACACACAGACACACAGACACACAGACACACAGAACGAACGCTCAGAGTGCACCCACCAATCAACACGAAAGAGTACAGTAGGTGCATGATGCCACACCATACCAGATAAGGCGAGCTGGGACATCCTGCGGCCTGCTGTCCGAATCGCCACGTCGGGATTCTGCACCTCATGAGACAGCTGCAGCCAGCCACCAAGCCAGTGAGTGCAGTGCACCCAACAAAACAATCCCAAACCGACACACTGCAGTGGAGGCTCCAGCCACGACTCCGGCACCCACACACTCACCGTATCAATGGTGTTCATGACAGACGCCGTCACGAGTGTCAGGCCAGTCGGGCGCCGCTCAATGCGCTGCACGGTGAGGGGTCTCCTCTCGCCCTTCCTGCCGGGCCACACAATGGTGCGGGCGGCCACCCTCTCGGCCGCTGGGGGGTCGCAGAAGACCACGCAGAAGCCATTCTTGACCTGCTGGGAGGCCACGCGCTGCACACGAATCACAGGGGCCACCCAGCAGAGCTGCATGACAGCCACACAAAGACAGACAGACAGACAGACAGACAGACAGAGAGAGGGATGGAGGGAGTGGCAACACGCGCAGAGTCCTTACCAGGTTGAAGACGGCGGTTTCATCGACGCTTGAAGGGAAGTCGGATATCACGAGGGTGGAGTTGACGTCAAAACCTGCAGGCTGCAATACATACGTACAGAAAGGGAAGGAGGCCAAGGACAGGCGCTGCCTGCTCGGCAACTAGCTGCTCGAGCTCTCCCGTGACCTACTCACCTCTTTGAAGGCCTTCATCTCATTTTTACTCCTGAGTTCTTTTCAACGGCAAACGGTAGGTGGATCGCCATGTAGATCTTGCTTTGACGTGCTTCACAGCCGCTCACACGTCGATTAAGTCGAATCGAACTGCACGTATGGGTCTGGGTCTGTCCCAAGTCGCCTACTGGCGGTACACGGGTGCACTAAGCCGGAACACATGCAGCTCCCCGCAGCGGCTATTAGTCTCGCGAAATGCGGTGATACGACAAGAAGCGACCAACACAAAGAGGCAACAGACAGGCATCAACCCCCACCCACACCCAACGAAACGTTACAGACACATGGCACAGACATCAGATCAAACCCAGCACACACATTACACATATGATTGATCCCTCCTCCTGTATGCACAATCTCCCCGACTTGTACGTACGAGAAAGAGCAGACCACAGCATAGTATATAGCCAGAACAGTCGTCACCGTGCCTCTGGCGCAGACACGACAACACAGCCAGACACAGTAAGCAAACAACAACAGGCAAAAGAGACAGTCAAACCGATATACCGAGGCCAACAAGACACAGTCTTGGGACGGTCCTGGTCAGGGCATAATGCATCCAGCCATCCACAAAGGATCATCTGAACGATTGGGCCTCAACCAGACGCAACACAAACACCACCGACGCGGTGCCTATGACGGTCGAACATCCAGGCGCTCAGGTCAGCAGGAGAAACCGGGAAACCCCCTTGCCACGTCCACCACACCAGCATCATCTTGGGTGTCGTTGTTCGTCACCTAGATACAGGTAGGCCCTTGCATGACGAAGGGGAGGAAGAAGGGGGCGTCAGTCGAACCAGCGGGGTCTTGTGAGCACCAGATCCACCAGATCTCGCATAGCTCCACGACTGGAACGCCCACGCTACGTGCAGGGAAGGCTCACAAGGCGGAGGGGAGAGGGAGAAGAAGGGACGAAGAAGATGTTTCAGACGGAACGCCACAAGAATGGATCTCCGCCTATCGGATGTAGATCTTGCTTTGACGTGCTTCACAACCTCAAACCGCTGCTGCCAAGCTCAAGCTTGGCGTCATCTTTCCTCGAGATAGATAGGCAGATAGCGGTATTAATGGCGTCATCTTCTTCATCGAGCAGCCCGCGGTGTGAGATCTCCAATGCCTTTCGCCTCGTGCAGTTCAAGGAGGTGCTGAAGGAGCGCAACAAGATGCCTGCCCTGAAGCAGGCGCTCACGCCCGATTCGGATACCCTCAAGGACACCATCCAGGCCGTCTCACGCGGAGCCGGCAGTGGCAGCAAGGAGGGAGGAAACAAACCCCACCTCTTCTCCTCAGGTCGGTCCGGCTGTCGGTGGGGGGGGAGATAGATAGATAGATCGAAGATGCCTGACACACGACATACAGACAGCTACACAACTGCATGTGTGTGTTGATATACAGGTCTTGGTGGTGTGTCCGGCACGATTCACTGCCGGAATCAGGCGGCGCTGTGGGACTCGGCGGCGCACTGTGTGTTGGAAGGAGGGGTGGACCCCCGCCTGGCTGTCGTGGAGATCGTAGACCACCGACACCCTGTCAGGTTCGCCACACCCCTCTCGGAGAAATGCTACTCGCTCGTTCTCAACGACACCAAACATATTGACGATAGAGTGAGTCAAGGAATGAATGAATGAATGGGGTTTCCGGTGGGTCTTCACGTATGGCTGCCTGCCTGGCTGGCTGCGTGCCGTGTGGGCGGGGCGGGGTGGGCTTGTGCGGATGGATGGCTGCAGTTGCCCGTGGTACTGGGCGAGTACACAGGGGTGGTGTGCAAACCGCAGGTGGACGAAACGGGGCAGGAGAACACCACTTACGTATTCAGACTCGGTACGCCACCAACCCACTACACGCGCCCCGCCCATTCGTCAATCATCTCATCTCATGTCCTGTCACGTGCTCCCCTCGCAACACCCACGCGCGTATGCAGAGTTCGACCCTCGAGCTGTCCATGGCGACAAGTCGCGGGTAGCTTCTGTCCGCGGCGACCATGGGTCTGTTGGGGGCCCACGCGGCCGCAAGCAGCAGCTGGTGCTGCCACACGATGACGAGTGGGTCGTGGACGCGTCACGGTTCCACAACGAAATGGGTCAGTCCGTCCGTTCGTTCGTTCGTTCAAGATGCGTGCACATCGATCGCGACGCAATGTGTGCATCGGGCCGGCTTGCTCACTCTCCCTCCTTCCCTCCCTCCCTCCCTGTGTGGATGTGTGTCTTTGCTGCTCAGCGTTGGTGAATCACTGTGAGGCGATCGACCTGTGCGCCAACCCCAACGGGTTCAAAAACCTCCACGTCAACGCCTGCTGGCATCAGGTACCTACACACATACACCTACGTACGTGCATACCAAGGCAGCCCACCGGCCGGTGCTGAATGTACGGATGGATGGCTGCATCAGTCAGGGTCGCTCTCTGGGGCTGTGGGGGGCTGTGGATGTATGTATGCATCTGCAGATATACGAGGACGGGTGGCCCCACGTGGTGTTGTGTACCATTCCCGGAGTGCGCATATACCCGGGGGTGAGTGGAGAAATGGATGGCCAACACATACATACATACATACATACATACATGCGCACACAGATACACGCGGCTCGTGCCTCTCCGTCTGTTTGTCTGTGTGTCTGTTTGTCTGTGTGTCTGTCTGTCTGTGTGTCAGGATGAGATCGTCGCCGACTTCGGTCGTCTGTGGTTCGATCGTGTGCGTGAGCTGGCCATCCGGGGACTGCGCAACGAGCTGCTGACCGCACGCCTCCTCCGCGCCGAAGCTCAGGGTGAGCGATGCGGCATCCGTACACACAGCCACACGTGCACCTGTTTGCGCACGCACTGCAGGCATCCCGGCCATCCCGGCCTCCAGTGACGCCGACGCCAGTGACCAGGACCCGTTCGGCGAGACGTCGCCCGAGCACACCCTGTGCGGCATCTGCCAGCAGCCCGACCCCCACCCCATCGGCACGTCCGACCAGATGAGGGATGAGGATGACATCTCAATCGCAGGAGGGCCGCCACTGGGCGCCACTGGCTCGATAGTGTGCGACGGGTGTGCCTTTCCCTTCCACCTGCACTGCCTGGGACTGGAGCCCAACGACACGCCACCAGGTACCTGTGCTGGCGGACAGACAGACAGACAGACAGGGAGGGAGGGAGGGAGGGACGCATGCACACGACTCACAGACGACAGCCACACTCGCCTCAAGATTTGATGTTTCCTGTGGTGTCTGTTGCAGATGACGTAGAGTGGTTCTGTCCCAACTGCGTGGCGCTTAGCGAGTGAGCGACTGACTGACTCGCCTACACACAGTCCCGCCGACATGGCTGTCTGTCTGTGGAATGAATGTGTCGGTCAGGCGTGTGGCTGACGCCGTGTCGGGTGGCAACAAGAATGATCCCCTCTCAGTCCGGCGGCTCCGTCGCGTCCACTCGGCCGCCTACAACGCAGACCACCGCCCCGTCCGTCACCCAACCTACAGATGGTTGCACCAGAGAATGAATGCTCGTGTGACATCCGCCTACATATGTATGTCTCCCTGTTTGCGTCTGTGTCTGTGTGTGCAGGGGGGCTGCACGCTCAACATGAAGCAGCCGCTGGTGCAGGGGGGCAGCCGGGGTGTCAGGGGCGTCGCGAGCGCCCACCTCAGTGACGACGCATTCTCGATGCTCAAGCCGTGCGGCGCCTGCAAGAAGCGCAAGAAAGGCGCAGACCCAGAGGGACTTCACATCAACTGCAGGTGGGTCGGTGGGTGGGGTGGGTGAGTCAGAGGAGGAGTCTCTCTCTCGCGCGCGTCGCGTGCTACGTGCATACGCCTGCGCCGGTGCGGGTGTGTGTGTGTGTGTGCGCGCTGCACGCATGGTGCGGTGCCTCCATCTGGGCCCGCGATTACGACGCTAACAGGGACCAGACCGAACGCGACGTCGCCCAAAACACTATCGGCGCACGTAATAAGGAGGCCTGCTGAATATCTATCATTCATTCACACGCCACACATGCATTCCTTCTTTTCCCCCTCTCTCTGTGACGATTGTGCATTCAGTGGTCCGGGCCTACACGAACGTGCGGTCGCGTGACGGGTCTGCCCGCAAGGGCGACAAGCAGCGGCGCCAAAGGCAGAACAAGAGCACATTGCAGCACAAGAGCCTCGCCGCGGCCGCCGCGGCTGACCACAGACAAGGTCGGCCAGCTCACCAATACAGCATGCGTTCCTTTACCGTCATGTCGTGTGCCGCGTCCGTCCGTGTGTGTGCAGCGTCCGAAGTTGGTGGGGCGCTAGGTGGTGGGGGCGAGAAGTGGCAGGCGGTGGAAGGCTGGATTCCCCTGCTGGGCATCTGCATCAACAAGACCGCAATCGAGCGGAAATTTGCGATGGGGGCGTTTGAGGTGCGCGCGATTGCGTTCACGCAGTCCGTGGGTGTCTGTGGATTGTGTGCATTGTTGTGTTGTGTTGTGTGCAGGGTCGTGTTGAGGGCGTGGGGGAGCGTGGCTACTTGGACATCAAGTACTCGGATGGCGACGACGAGTCCGTCGATGCCGAGAGCCTGCAGAAGATCCTTCGCGACTGGCTCCAGGACAACAGCATGTCCGCCAAGACGCGCAAGGAAATCATCACCTCACTCATGATCGACAAACAGGTGGATGGGTCGGTGGGTCGATGGGAAGGAGAGTCAACACCGCAGCACAGAAAGAACACCACGCACTGGCTCTCTGGAACGGACGTAAAAACGAATATGCAAATCGAATGTGTCGATCGATGGATGCAGGTGATCGAGAAATATATGATGCGGACGGTTCCCGTCCGCTTATTGGGCGGCGGCTCGACGCTGCACGACGACGACTCAGACTTTGGGGACGACGACGACAGACACAGCGGCAACGGCAGCAAGGGCAGCAGCAACAAGCGGAGCAAGCCCGCGCACCCCTCCCCTTCCCCGCCTCCATTCCATGAGTTTTCGGGCACTCCTTCTGTGCCCATCGTCAAGGGCAGGAGCAGCCAGGCCCCCCGCAAGCAGGCGATCAACCGTGGGCGGCGGGAGAGGCGCGGCAAGGACAGCCGTGGTGCCATGGAGGTGGACGGCGAGAGGTCGCCCGGTAGCTGCGTGCCGTCTGGCAACATCGACAACCTTATGGGAATCGAGTGAATGGATGGATGGATGGATGGATGGATGGGAATCGAGTGAATGGATGGATGGATGGATGGACGGATGAAGGGATGGGCCGGGCTACCTGTATCCACATACATACATACATACATGCGAAATCGCATACACGCATATGTGGTGACCGGTTGGTGGGGTGTTTTTTATCTAGAGACGGGGGGCGGATGGACGGATGGATACTCCTGCCCTTTTATCCCTCCCTCCCTCCCTGTCTGCCTGCATGCCTGCCTGCCTGTGTGCGTGCCATCTGCTGCGTTTATTTTCGTGCGTGCTCTCGCTTTTTCCCTTCCGCCATTCGGCGGCGTGGGCTGTGACAGGGGACAGATATCTTTTTGGCAGTGTCCCATCAATCACAGCTGATTGCATTGGACAGACGGGTGTAGAGAGCACCTGCACGCGTTGACAGCCAGGTGAGTGTGGGAGCTGGCTGGGGATGGTTGTTCGTGCCTAGCCTGTTATCGATCCTTTTAGCTATGAAAGGCCATATATATTTATTTGTCTATGTAGGGTGTGTGCCCCATGAAAATTGACTGCATGATGAAATGCGCTCTCTCTTGCGACAGCTTTGGTGATCAAGTGGCAATGCGTCCCCAGATGAGTGGTGTGTCCATCCATACGTACTTAGTGCCTCACTGGATCGGCACCAAATCCCTCGGCCATTATGTGGTAGTGTTCACACACGGGATCGGAGCACACATCCAGACAGCCACACGTGTGAACAGAGCCTCTCAGTTTGAAGTGCACGCATACACAAACGCACACACACTCACACTCATACTCTCGCGACATCGATCGGTTCGTGGATGCATGTCATTCATCCCAGACTGCACAAACCACACGCAAATGCACCCACCTTATATAGTTAACCAGAACACACTCAGACACGATGCACTCACACCGACCCACAGGCAGGCAGGCAGGCAGGCGGGCGGGCGATAAAGATTGATATGTCTTTCTCGGTCTGCCGTAGGCGACCGATTGAATGAGCGGCGTAATCGATGTGATCGATGTACGTACGTACGCGTTGTGACTGTGTGATCGATGTGATCGATGGCTGACTGTACACACAGTCACAGCACCCAACGGCCTCCATCGAGTCAGGCAGACAGACAAGCAGCTCACTCATGGTCATGTCTCTGTGGCCGCTCGTCTGTGTGAGTCTCTGGCTCATCTGCCCCGCCGCTGTCCACTCGTACGAGCGCACCAACACACACCACAATAGCCACCGCACACTCGTCGGCCGCGATGGACTGCCCGTGCACATCAGCTTCCAACACAACAAAGTCGCACCGTATCCCGTCGCTGGGTGGGCGGGCTCATTCACAACACAAGAGAGGGAGACATTCATTCACTCACTCACGCACTCACTCATGTTCGCTCGTGAGTCTCTCTCTCTCTCTCTCTGTGTGTGTGTGTGTGTCAGCGACACGTCGCGAATGATCACCCCGCCGCCGCTCCGTGCCGTCCCTGGTCGGTCAAGAGAGCCGAGCTCAGCACGAAGACGAGCACCCGACTGCTCTTGCTTGACTGATTAGGTGTGCCGGCCGGTCGTGGTGTGGCGTTTGGTTTGGTGCTGCCTCGCGAGAAGGATCTGATGGCTGTGTCGATGCGCGTGTGGCTGACGGTGCTGTCGGCGATCGCTCTGCCGCTCTTCGCCTACTTGGCTCTGGCGGGCTCGGCAATGTGCTGAGAGAGAGACGGAGAGAGGGGCATTCTCTTGCACCGCATCCAATCGATCATGTGTGTGTATGTTTGTGTGCATGAGTTGGTGTGTGCAGTGAGCTGAGCGGCCCAGCGACGGCTGCATTTGCCCTCCAGTGCGTGCCTTTGCTGGTGCAGAAGACAGGCAGTGAACACAATACACCCATTTGAACACAGGTGTCTCTATATCCATCTGTCTCTCTGTCTCTGTGTGTCTCCCTCCCTCCCTCCCTCCCTCCCTCCCGTTGTGTAGCTGGTGTTCGTGTCTGTGCCAATCTGGCTGATTGCCGTGCTCTGCGCTGCCACACGTAAGGAAAACGGACATCACACCAATGCGTGTGTTGCGAGTCCATTAATCACTTTATGTTTTGTTCTCAGTGTTGGCTGCCTACGCGGCTTTCGTGGCACTCACCGACACTCTCAAGACAGCAACCAAGTGAAAGCACTCACTTCCATCCATCCATCCATCCATCCGCGCAAATGCCCCCCGTCGACACCTTGTCTGTGTGTTGTGTCGATGCATGTGTGTAGGTGGCTGCTCGTTGTGGTCGCGTCTCTGTTGGTGTCCAATTTGCTGCTCCAGCTCTTTGCAGCTGCGACAGGCGTCGACGCGAGCAGAGTGCTGACGCCTCAAGATTTGATGTTTCCTGTGGTG